GTTTCCGTTGATATTGCCACAGTTATATGTACACAATAGGCATTAAGTTTACAAAAATTCCAAAATAAGATTGCATCAACAGTTGTGAAGGGATGTTTAATACTGCGTAGCACACCCACAGATCTTTAATTTCCTTAAAACCTGACACAGCTTCTGGGGGTTCAAGTGTCCACGTAATTCTAGGGGCCAACACAGGCGGTTTAATGCTAATCAGGGGATGATCACTGTTTACGCTGGATTGATTTTGTTATAGCCGGCGGGAGCGCGGCAGTTTGCCTCAGATGCTTCGCTGACGTGAGAAAAGCTGAGCGGCCGAATTTCACGCGCTCAGGGTCGCAAAACGGAACACAAGAAGACGTTCAGTAGCAAAACCCACGCACATCCGCCCAAGAGTATTTTAAAAAAGTTATTCCTGACAGAATGCCTAGATTATCCAAAAGTTTTGCTGTCATCCAGAGCGCTTTTGTGTACCGCTATCGTACCATCCTCAGGATGGACAGCCGTCAAAAACGCCCTCCCATTGATTTCGAACACCGGTTGTGGCATTAGCATCTATCGATTGCTTTTCTAGCTTGTGAGCATCAACAGTACCTTGAATACCGAACCACCCCGTGGGGATCTTCGCAGGAAGATGGGGTTAAGTGATTGCGTTGCCATCACTTTACCCAAATCTACAAAATCACAGACGACTTAGACGTCTTGACATTTGCTTCGTACTTTCGGTAAGCTTAGATGTCTCGCTGTTGCATAAAACGACTAAAATTGCACCAGCCGATTATGCCCGCCGGAAATTCCTAGAAATTTGAAAGCTGGACAATTTTAACGATATCCACACACTCTGCGCCCCACCTACCGACCAATGAAGACATATCAGAAGCTAATGTTTAGAAAATAATAAGGCTCTTTACATTCGAATAAAGACCTCACAAAGGCAATCCAGAGGCGAGAGCAAACTCTGGTGGCACAGAGTGTCAGTGCAATAAATACCCCAAAATCCAGTAGTAGTTTAAAACGTGTCTAGAAATCGAAATCGTTGCTAGCGGTACGACCTCTCATATAGAGAACAAACTGCCAAATGAAGTTTATGATGCAAGTACAATCCATGATGCAATCTCCAAGCGAAAGGATCGTAATCCTGATTGTAATCCAAGTTAGGTCAACGGGAGGTTACTAACGATGTACAATGGGAACATAAACATAAAGTTACTTCTACATAAAACATAAGTGTAGATTTTGAGGAACCAGTAGAAATCATATCAAAAACTGTAAAATTCCCACAGCCCTTCACGAAGAGGAGTCTTTGGCAGACGGGAGTTAAACTGATGTCAAGTAATTGTCCACGCCCATAGATGAACATGGAAGCAAAGCGGGTGTCAACCTTCTATGTAATGACAACCAAAGCATTCGTTTAAGGGAAATGCCCAAACCCAATGCAATACACGCCAAAAATACTGAACGGTCATGGCCACGTCTCAGACATCTAAATACTTTACTATCAGATATTAAAACTTAGCCTGCAGAGTAACAAACAATTTCGCACTGAAATATTCGAAATGACAGAAAAGTTAGCCGGACAGTAATTCCTCAAAACTAAGAGCATTCATGGTTAATTCCGGTAGAAAATCGATTTTTCCGGAAGGCCATCCGGAGGACTTTTCAAAAGAATTTTGTCTCTGTGATAGATGGAGATTGGGGGAATTGAAATCAGCATACAACCGATGGATCAATTTCAGGAAGAAGAAGAAGAAGAAGAAAAGCGAAGAATTACGAAAATAAATTGCCACAGATCAGACGAAACTTTTTGTTGGAAAATTCTGCAACATATATGGGTTGGATTATCCTCTTTGTTCATAAATTATGCTTGGACAGAGATGCACAGGGACTAACCTGTCAATATCGACTTAACTACCGGTAGGACATTTATTTGAGCAGAGCTGCACCTTCACATAAATGCCCAACCTTTTTTGCAGCAGTGACATGAGTCCAGACTACAGATATCCAGCGCGCAAACGCACGTCACCTTCACAAACGCAAATTTTTTCAGCTCAAGATATCCGAAGGCCAGATTTTCGTCGATGCATAGTAAGTCGTTCGTCAGGACAAGTTAGACAAAGACGAGGCAGACTAGCAGCATATCCAATAAAATAAATCGTGGCCTTCGAAGACAGAATTGTTTACTAAAATGATTAAGGAGCGATATGGTCAACTATGGGCGCATCGAGCGTAATATTCGGCACTTTGACAGTATATTTGTCGCCTAAACAAGTTTCTAACGTCCTGAAGAACGGCTTAAATCAAGTGCTTCGGTGCACGGACGTAGTAATTGTTTTCAACTTTAGTGCACCAGCGATCGACTGGAAAAAATTTTTATTTGAAAGTATGAATTAGTCCTTCTACTTTTCATTGCTACTTCTGACAGTGAGCTCTTTCTTGCACGGAATATTGATTTTTCAACGAGAACCGAAGAGGCGCAAATGAATTATCTGGATTTTGTTTTAAAAAAGACTTAAGGAATATTTACGAAATTAGGTCTCACCGCCACTTGGCAAGAACAGCTACTGCATATTCTTGTGGGGTTTCTCCCTATGCGCGAAGCAAACAGAGGCGACCACGGTTCGACTGGGATCTGAATACGAACTTTGTGGCCAAGAGAAGTGAAACATTCGTGGCAAATTGGTAGAACGTCCTTATTGGGACCCGGAATTCGAGTGGTACACTGCCTAGGAAAATCGAAGTGACGTTACGCGTCGCAACTTGGCAAGAAAAAGCAAAGGGCCCTCGAAGGTTAAGCGGAGTTTTGAAGTGCGAGATGAAAAAAAATGAAGAAAAACTTTTGAGAAAACACATAGAACCAGCGCGGCCTACGCACTTCGAAGCACTTACTCGTAAGCGGATCAATGTTAATTTATACGCGAGTTATGAAAAGAGTATAAGATGCAAATTGCAGATGGGGCCGTAAAAAGCCAAACTTGTGCCTTGGCAACAACAGCAGCAGGCTAACAAATGTGGGACCGGTCGTAGTGCTAAAGGGCGAAAATAACGGGGCATTAATGAAAATGACCACATGGTTGAACATCTAAGCTGCTGGTTGCCTCTATCTTAACCAGCAAAACAATTATTAGTCATTCCGACTTCCTCTCTCGAAGTAATGGCACAGTCATAAAAGGCATTGATTTCGCAAAAGAAGTGATTAGAAAAAGGATTGATAACGCTCAACGGATCAAAATCTCCTAGTTCAGACCAGAAACCAGTAGAGGTGCTAAAAGCGCTCCTTTCCGAACTCGTACGACACCTACCTCTTTTTCGATGATCCTATAACTGATATTTGCTCTCTTCTGACGGGAACCGAGTGAATAGATACCCGATTTTCAGGCAAGGTTCCCAAAAAATGTTAACAACAGGCTGATAGGCCCTACGGGCATTTTCTACATCATTACGGAACTTGTCATCGTACTCTATCATGGAATTCCTTTACGAAAAAGAACCTTTCATCATTGCTAAACCTTTTTTTTCAAAAACCACTGGTATATCCAACGCAGCAATGCTGCCGTTTATTTAAACAAAGCAGAAGAGTTTGCGTCTTTTGCATTAGCCCCACTAGTCACTGATAATGCATAAAATAGTCATTTAGGCAAGATCTCATTTCGTAGCCGTACCTGTTAGCGGTTGGAATTAGGGGTCAGGGTTAGGGGCTGTGATTAGGGATTAGGGTTAGGGGTCAGGCTAGGCTTGTCTACTGCAAGTACAGTAACGAAATTATATTTGACCATCATTTGCTTTATAGAATTCGGATACCTGAAGTACAAGGGAGTCTATGAATATAGGCAGAGAGTGTCTTAATGAGCCGGTCTTAGTCTGTGCTCGTAGACAATGTAACATCGCCAAATATCAACCAAAGTTCTGGGTCCGCTATGTCGATGACACCTTCTTCGCTGTCAAAACAACTGGCATTGAGCACTTAAGGAACTACTGAACTCGGTTAACCCGGATATCCAATTTACGACGGAAACAGAAACAAACAATAAACTGCCCTTCCTTGACGTACTTGTGCGCCGGTGTACAACAGGACAACAGCAAACTACAGAATTCCGAAAATCCACCGACATGAGACAGATCCTACACTTTAACAGCAACCATCCTCTGTTTCACAAGATTTATTGTGTCCGCACTCTATTCCAAAGAGTCGAAACACACTGCAACACGCCAGAAGATAAAAGGACTGAACGATTGTAACTTGTTAACCTATTTGCAGCCAATGGTTATCCCAGACATTTCATCGAGAGAAGCAGACGTTAAGCGTACAGACGACGGCCAAATGGACAGCAACGCGAAGTCTGGAGGGCCATTCCTTACGTTAAAGGGGTCTCTGAAGCGGTCTCGCGATTTTTACAACCCATTAGTGTAGGCATAACCCATCGACCACAAGCAACGATTCGACGTCGCCTGCTGCAACCTAAGGACCCATTGCACCTGCTGAAACCTCAGCAGTCATCTACAAAATAAATTGCAATGAGGGCGACTGCATTTATGTGGGCGAAACCGGGCGGAAATTGCTAACTCGCCTACAAAAGCACAAACCGGCCACTCGGAGGTTAGTGTTGGGAGTGCCTACACTCCCAAAAACAAGAGCCAGCCAATCACGGGAGGCCACGTGCGTTTTCTCTACTGCGCTGTCATCTTAATCGTGGCGCCTCTCCATTGGCTTTTCCTCGCGGGCCTGATCGATCAGCATATTCGAATTATCGACCGGCTCGTCTCGAATGTTCTTCCCGAAGGGCATTGGGCCGAACGCCGGCGAAGCACCGTAAGGCGTTATAAATACGCGTTACTTCCAGTTCATTTTGACTTGCAATTTCCTAATACACGGTTTCGTGGCCGGTCGCCTTCTCCTTCTCTGCCGCGTTGGTATTGGAGACAAGGGTCGAGTGCGCATACGCTCCACAGGATTTCACGTACCAGGCGGGTCATAATAAATTGGCGACACAGGTTTTTCAACTACAATGGCTGACGAGTATGCAGACTTGAAGCAGATGTTGCAGCAGCAGCTGAAGCTGATGGAGGCTCTGACCGTCAAGCTATCCAATTCATCCATGGGCCAATCAAGCGCGGCTGGTGGTTCACAATCTGTTGATCACATTGCCGGCAGCATCACTGAATTCCTGTATGACCCGCAGGCCCATATCACCTTTGAGTCCTGGTACAAACGATACGAGGACTTGTTCTCTGTCGATCTGGCTGCCCAGGACGATGCATGGAAGGTTCGACTCCTACTTCGCAAGCTGGGTCCGGCTGAACACGAGCGTTATGCAAACTTCATCCTCCCCAAGAATCCCCGAGAGGTCGCTTTCAAGGACACGGTTGAGACATTGTCGCAAATTTTTGGTGATCAATCATCCCTTTTCAACACTCAATTTCAGTGCCTGCAGCTGTGCAAACGCGATTCCGATGATTTCATCACGTATGCGGGCATTGTCAATCGTGAGTGTGGGCGTTTCCAACTCGGTTCTCTCACTGAAGACCAGTTTAAATGCCTTATATTTATCTGGGGCCTCCAGTCCCCCAAGGATGCTGGTATCCGGACACGTCTCCTGTCCAAAGTGCAGCAGAACAACTCTACCACACTCCAAGAGCTGGCAGCAGAGTGCCAAACGCTGATCAATCTCAAGCACGACTCTGCAATGATTCAGAACCCTGCCTCATCTTTCTCAGTCCATACGGTCACATCGACCAAATCGCATCCTGTTACACGGCCCAAGCAAGTGTCCAAGTCGAGATCTCCGCCATCTCCTTGTCGGCACTGTGGCGCGTGGCATTTCCACCGGGATTGCACTTTCCGCCAGCATCGCTGCCAAAGCTGTAATCAGGTGGGACACCGTGATGGGTTCTGTAAATCAGTACCAGCTTCTGGAGGCAAGCCAGCCCCCGCCACTCCTAATTCCAGGCACCGTTTCCGGCCAAAACGCAAGCCCAAACCCCAGTCCGTTGGTAATTCTCTGAGTCTCTTGGCCGCTTTCCAGCTCAATGCGTCTGGTCGTAGAAAATTTGTTGATGTCTTGCTCAATGGCCATGCAGTTCGTCTACAGTTGGACACTGCCTCAGATATCACCATCATCTCTGAGAGACTCTGGCAGTCCCTTGGCAGTCCCACGATTCAGCCGACTTCCCAGTCCGCCACAAGCGCGTGCGGTGGTCTCGTACAGCTAATTGGGCAGCTGCAATGCTGTGTGTCGTTCCGCGGTACCAGCATCACTGCGATCTGCTACATCACCAAGTCTGATCTAAACCTACTTGGTCTCGACTGGATTGAACAACTTGGGTTGGCCGATATGCCGCTCCGCGTTGTTTGCAGTCAGGTGCAGATTCCCGCTGTGCTTGCAGACCAAGCCAAGGACATTCTCCAACGCTTTGCTCCAGTGTTCCAAGACGGCCTGAGTCGTTGCACATACACTCAAGCCGTGCTACATCTGTCTCCTGGAAGTTAACCAGTCTTCCGTCCAAAGTGACCAGTCCCATATGCAGCCCTACCACTTGTCGAGGCTGAACTGAAGCGTCTAGAGGAATTGGGAGTTCTGGTTCCTGTATCCTACTCCGCCTGGGCCGCTCCAATCGTTGTGGTTAGGAAGCCCAATGGCTCGGTCCGCATTTGTGCTGACTTCTCCACCGGTCTCAATGCCGCGCTGACGCCGAACTGCTATCCACTACCGGTTCCGATTGATCTTTTCACCCTGCTGGATGGTGGCACTTGCTTTGCCGAGTTGGATCTCGCTGACGCGTATCTGCAGATCGAGGTCGCCCCAGAGTCGCGCGAATTGTTGACCATCAACACCCACCGCGGTCTGTTCCAATACACCAGGCTGCCCTTTGGTGTCAAGACCGCCCCGGCCCTATTCCAACAAACGATGAACGCAATGCTCTCCGGCATCCCTGGCACAGCTGGGTACCTGGACGACATCATCATCGTGGGTCGCTCCCCTGCCGAGCTGCAAGACCGAGTGTGCGCAGTGCTCGAACGCGACAAGGATTATGGCTTTCGCCTACGGGCCGAGAAGTGCCAATTCTTCCTCGACTCCATCAAATACCTTGGATTCGTTTTTGACGTCAACGGTCGCCATCCAGATGCTGAAAACATTCGGGCCATCCAACGGATGCCTGCCCCCAAGAATGTATCGCAACTTCGTTCGTTCCTTGGCCTGATCAGCTACTATAGCGCCTTCCTACCATCGCTGCATGACGTACGGGCCCCGCTCAACCGTCTGTTGCAGAAGGATGCTCCTTGGTGCTGGTCCCCCGACTGTGAAAAGGCCTTCGCCCAGCTAAAGTCGATGCTGAGTTCAGATCTGTTGCTCACGCACTACGACCCGACGCTGCCGATCGTTGTTGCTGCAGATGCTTCCAACCACGGAGTTGGTGCCGTCATCTCACATACTTTTCCTGATGGGTCTGAAAAGGCGATCATGCGTGCATCTCGCTCGCTAACCCCTGCGGAGAAGAACTATGGGCAAATAGAGAAAGAAGCTCTAGCCCTCGTGTTTGCCGTCAAGAAATTTCACAAACTGCTGTACGGTCGCCACGTCACGTTGTTGACGGATCACAAACCATTGCTGTCAATCCTCGGTTCGAAGAAGGGCATTCCCGTCTACTCAGCCAGCCGACTTCAGGATGGGCAACCATCCTTCTTGGCTACGACTTCGACATTCGCTACTGTCGTACTACAGACTTTGGTCAGGCTGACGCCCTTTCTCGCCTCATCAGCAATCAGCAGGAACCGGAGGAAGATACCGTGATTGCAGCTATTTCGATTGAGGACGGTGTGCGCCGTCCCGTGATTGCAGCTATTTCGATTGAGGACGGTGTGCGCCGTCAGCTATCAGACGCCATACGAGGTATCCCTGTCACTGCCGCGGACATCCGACGTGCTACTGAACAGGATCCTGTCCTCCGCCAGGCCATCACCTACGTGCAGACCTGCTGGCCAACCACTGCTCTCGCTGGCGATCTTCGCCAGCTCTTCCTCCGCCGAGCATCGCTATCTGTGGTTGACTCCTGCCTCATGTTTGCAGACCGTGTGGTGATCCCATCTTCCCTCCGACCCACTGTACTACGCCAGTTCCATGCGGCCCATCCTGGTGCCAGCCGAATGAAGTCTATTGCTCGCAGTTTTGCCTACTGGCCGGGTATCGACGGCGACATCGACGACCTGGTTCGACGCTGTTCTCGATGTCAGCAAGTTGACAAGATGCCGCCTCGTCAACCTCCAATACTCTGGCAACCACCGGAGAGGCCTTGGTCACGCGTGCATATCGACTTCGCTGGCCCACTTAACGGAGTCTCCTACCTTATCTTGGTTGACGCCTACTCGAAATGGCCCGAGATTGCTCCGCTGAATCCAGCAACCGCATCTGCCACTATCGCCTTCCTACGACGCATCTTTAGCCAGCATGGCTTACCAGAAGTCCTGGTTTCAGATAATGGTTCTCAGTTTATCTCGTCGACGTTTGAAGATTTCTGCCGCCAGCACGACATCCAGCATCTTCGCTTCCCGCCCTACCATCCTCAGTCTAACGGTCAGGCGGAGCATTTTGTCGACACTTTTAAGAGAGCCCTCTTGAAAGCTCGTGGGGAGGGGACCACGGACGAGATAGTCCAGGCGTTCCTGTTTTCCTACAGGACGACACCGAACCCGGCGTCCCCTGGTGGCGTTTCTCCTGCCGAAGCGTTGATGGGCCGAAAACTGCGTACAACGTTTCATGCCCTCGTCCCTATCGGTGCGCAGCCCGCACAGACTTCTCCAGTCTCTCGCAGCAAGCTCTCCATCGGAACACCTGTCTTCGTTCGTGATTATCGAGCGGGGTTCCCAGACTGGATTGAAGCAACCGTAGTATCGCACAGAGGCAGTATGTTGTTTGACATCGACGTTGGTGATGACATCTGGGTTCGCCACCACAACCAGATCCGACGGCGACATTGCAGTAACACAACTGGGCTCGATTCGGCGCCGTCACTCTCTCTCGACATCCTTCTGGATACCTTCGCCATTCCGGCAGATCAGTCGGTTCCCGAATCCACTTCTGCGCCCCCTTCGGATATACCATCTTCGGTATCAGTTACCGCTCCCGTATCTCCAGGCATTAAACCACGACTAAGACGCCGGACCAACCGCGTGCGCCGATCAACACGTCTGATGCAGGTCAACCCACGCCAGAAGCGGTACTGACCTACTTGGAGGGGAGGTGTTGGGAGTGCCTACACTCCCAAAAACAAGAGCCAGCCAATCACGGGAGGCCACGTGCGTTTTCTCTACTGCGCTGTCATCTTAATCGTGACGCCTCTCCATTGGCTTTTCCTCGCGGGCCTGATCGATCAGCATATTCGAATTATCGACCGGCTCGTCTCGAATGTTCTTCCCGAAGGGCATTGGGCCGAACGCCGGCGAAGCACCGTAAGGCGTTATAAATACGCGTTACTTCCAGTTCATTTTGACTTGCAATTTCCTAATACACGGTTTCGTGGCCGGTCGCCTTCTCCTTCTCTGCCGCGTTGGTATTGGAGACAAGGGTCGAGTGCGCATACGCTCCACAGGATTTCACGTACCAGGCGGGTCATAACAGTTAGACCCTAACTTTCAACTAACAACGCGCGTTGGAGATACTGGGCATACTTGTTCTCTCCAGAGAACTACCATCTTCGGCCGGGGCAAGACAAAAGCAGAACGGCTAACTCTCGAGGCGTTGTTCTCCGATGCCTATTCTATCAACAGGCATCTGAATCTTCCTGCAGCTTGTAAAGTCCTACGTCATCACAATCGCGGTGCTCAAGACCAAACAACCATACCGGACTTTTGAAGGCCGTACGGAGATAGCCTGACGCTGAGTTTACTTGGTGAGGAAGAACAAGAGCCGCCAGACCGACCGCCCGGCAAAGGTTTAATCAACTCCCCGACGGAGTGCTGACTCACAAAGCATAGAGGAAAAACGTCCGTCAATCATCTCCCGAGATGCCGAGGCAGCTGGAGGAAAGAAAAATCGATCAGCATGAGGCCGACCAACACAACATGCCACTTGAAATTTCTGATCGATTAAGTGCATTTTACGCTTTGACAATGGAGAGCCGACCGAGCTCTTTAAAACGTCAGCATTTAAATAAACCTTTTCCGGAGAGCCCATCTTCTTCTTCTTCTTCTTCTTCTTCTTCTTCTTCTTCTTCTTCTTCAAATAATCAACCCGGATCTCTCAACTTTGCCAATCTGAATGCAACATCGGTATAAGTATCCGTTATAAGCAGATTTCCACTGGTGTAAGTTTGCCGGTTATTAACCTTCTTGCTCTTAGTAAAATTGTGCAGGACATGACTTGACTGCAGGTGAGTCATGTGTGCAGATGACATCAAACTTTGGCAAACGATCAGTCGCAATAATAATAAAATTAACCTGCAGCCGAGTCTTGCCGCCTGTCGGAATCGCGTCACAGACGGCTTCCGAAGTGTGTCACGGTGCACATAAATAGAGGGAAGATGGACACGAAAGTCGGCGCTCACCAGTAATCCTGCGACGGAAGACTACTGGAGAATTTCACCAAACAATAAGTGCAACGACGGGCGATAAAACGGTCGAGTGACTTATGAAATGTGCTTCCTCTGCATACACTGGCCAAGCCCGATTCGCTTCTACTAACCCACAAACAATTGAGGTAAAGTTCACTTTTTGACATTCCGTATTATTGGCGGACATGACGACTCAAACTAGAAGAATAACCTGAATTTGCAAACAGAATTAACTGGCCACCCGTACAATTCCAAATGAAATTGTACGCACCTAGGTCAGGGAACGTTTTCCACAGGATGCGATCGAAGAACTCATTAAGAACGAGAGCGTGACTGCTTATACCATGGCAGTATTCAAAAGGTAAGCGAACTATTTCATTTTCCAGAGATGTTTTGGCAGATTTCAAATAACTCACTTTGACCAAACTGTGAAGAACTCGGTGCCTCGGTGGGATTCGAATCCACGACAGCAAAGGGAGGCTTTAGTACAGGCAGCGCTCTAACCATCTGAGCTACGAGGCCCCACCAGACGACGCGAGTTTAGTTGCATTTGGGTCATATTTACCCGCTTTACCTACTGCAACGTCTGGAATTCACCAAATCTGATATAGAAAGCTGACTGTCCATGCAGGATTTCCCAAGTAATGCATCTATAATCCACCAGATGACTACCAGGCTCACGTAATTCAGAGGTGTTTTGGCAGATTTTAAATAATTCACTTTGGATAACTGTGAAAAACTCGGTTCCTCGGTGGGATTCGTACCGCTGGGTCAAAGTGAATTATTTAAAACCTGTCAAAACACCTCTGAATTACGTGAGCCTGACAGGTATCTAGTGGATTTTAGATGCATTACTTGGGAAATCCTGCTTGAACAGTCAGCTTTCTGTATCAGATTTGATGAATTCCACACGTTGCAGTAGGTAAGGCGGGTAATCTTGACCCAAATGCGATTAAACTCGCGTCGTCCGGTGTGGCCTCGTAGCTCAGATGGTTAGAGCGCTGGCTGTACTAAAACCTCCCCTTGCTGTCGTGGGTTCGAATCCCACCGAGGCACCGAGTTCTTCACAATTGGTTCAAAGTGAATTATTTCATTTTTGACAAATATAAACTTTCCAATAGAAGTGAAGAGACGAGTCTCATGAAGCAGTCTTGAAGAAGAAGAAGAAGAAGAAGAAGAAGAAGACACGATCGCCAGGACAAGAGCTTTATTAGCCTGATGTTTCGGATTCCTGCTCGAATCCATCATCAGATACAAAAGCAGATATGGATAGTTGCTGCATAAGGGGCTGCAGTATTTACAGGATGCAGTAGCAATGCTACCGCATACCTATGAATATTCACGGCTCCCCTCCCCCCACCCCCTTCCTCAGGGATCGTTGCCGGTGGCGTGATGGACGACATTCGCGTCGTTAATTGATGCAATTTCACCACATGCGTTGAATGTTGGTGTGATGATTGTTCGACCATCTGACGCGCTGACCCGGGCTTTGGGAAGTGTGTTCACCTGTGCGCTCCCCGCGTGGCCAATTACTCTGCCTAGACGAAGTCTCAGCACGCTGTATTGAATGGGAAGATCGTTGCACTTGTTAATAGACTGGGGCCAGTAAACCATGACTAAAGCAGCTCCCGGCTCACGCGTCAAATTCTCGTCAAATTTAAATGTGTGGCCGAAACCCGTCGAATGGGCCGCAACTTGAGAGCTGGCGTCATTTCTCCGCACTGCTGCAGCGTATTCGGCCATTCGCGTTTGGAGTTGTCTTCCGGTTTCTCCGATGCAGTCGCTTTGTCCTCAACTGCGCCAGATCCGATAAACGACTCCAGACGTTTCTTGCCGTAGCAGTGGGTCTTTCGGTTTCATTAACTGAAGCCTGATGGTTGCCTCCGGTCTGTGTGCAACTCCAACGTCAAGTGGTGCGAGGAGGCGGCCAACAGCTTCCGAAACGTTCTTGACATATGGAAGCGCTCGCCAAACGTTGGTGTCCTTGCGGTGAGGCCTTTCGGCCCTTTTGCGTACGCACCGGTGGATGAAGTTGCGCGGGTTGCCGTTGGCTTTGAAGACTCGTCGGAGGTATTGTAATTCGGCAATCTTGTCTTGCGGCTCACTGCAGTGCGTTTATACACGCCGATAGAGCGTCCTTACACTACTGCGTTTGTGGCCGATTGGGTAGTTGCTGTTGAAGTTCAGTACTTGCATCGAAATTTCAGTAATTAACGACGCGAATGTTGGCCATCACGCCACGTGCAACGATCCCTGAGGAAGGGGGGGGGGAGCTGTGAATATTCATAGGTATGCGGTAGCATGGCTACTGTATCCTATAAATACTGCAGCCCCTTATGCATGAACCACCTTTATCTGCTTTTGCCTCTGATGAATTCGAGCAGGAACCCGAACCGTCAGGCTAATAAAGCTCTTGGCCCGGTGATCGTCTCTTCTTCTTCTTCCTACAAATAAAAACTTCTTAACACATGCCTCATCCGAGTACACTGCCCGCAGGAGTTCGCGGCCTTTCCCTATTGGGCGGGCGCCAACGATGCGAGTGTTCTCCCATGCCAATTTTTGCCCAATGTCTAGTGTGTGCATGGCCACCTGGGATAGATTTTCGCGTATATTTACTGCTAACCTGTGTTCATGTATACGGGTTGAGACAGATTTCCCAGTTTGGCCACAATAGACGGCATCACAACTAGAACGTGGGATTTTGTAGACAACACCTTTTCTTTCTAGGTGGTCAACTCTGTCCTTAGGGTGTTCATGCTGTGTGCGTAAGGTAGTTGCCGGCTGGTGTGCTACGTGTATCTGGAGGCAATGCACTTAGATGAGGCATGCATCAACCGGCATATCGATCTAGATGCCACATGCAAAATCGTGAAGGTCAGATTCAAACTGAATCAACCAATCCCGAGTAGCTGCCTTTAACCAATCACAGAATCCTTTGTCAGACTCGGTCTAGAAGATAATTTTTTTTGCACGCCCGTTGTCTGAACACGAGCTGGGAAACCAGTCTCGAAGATTTACACAAGAAAGCTTACTGCTTCCCAAACAATTCCATTTTCCTTATGATTATAACTGCATGGTAATAGGGTCATTAAATAATCCACCCATAACCCCCCATATATATAAACATTTGACAGTTGGACCGTCGTTACCAGCGATGTCAGCAGGATGGACGCGGGAACGGTGATTTGCGCTTGAATCAGGTTATTGTGATAGTAAACTTCCGCTGCATCTTCTGCACCCACTCCTCCCTCATCTACCTTAGTCAGGGTAAAGACGGGGTCAGACAGTCCGTCTGCGCGTGCAACGCATGCCTAGTCCGTGCATCATGGACCAGATATTAACAGAAAACGAGGGGACGGCTCAGGACCCAACTGAGTGCGAGTACCATGGGCGCTATATTAAGGAGGAGCCTTTGCTGCCTGACATGCCGTCCTAAAAGGAGGACCAAAGGGCGGATCTTATTTCTTGGCCGCACCTGCAGTAGACAAACCCCGTCCGCCTGTCATGAGGGACCGCTTGTAATTGGGGGTCTAGCACTAACCCCTAACCCTGACCCCTAACCCCAACACCTAACCCTTACCCCTACACTGAAGTCCTAACCTTGGCCCCTAACACTAATCCCTAACTTCTAACGCTAACCCCCCCCCCCTAACCCTAACCCCTAACAGGTGCGGG